GCAGCAACACAAAATGGGGACTCCGGCTGGTGCCCGGCTCCTGCTCCAGGTGTCTTAACATCCGGCCCCATCCCAAAACCTGCACCCTAACTTCCGTCCCTCACCCAATGTGACAGCACAAAAGGGCCAAGAGTAGCTATTTAAACAGAGAATCTGCAGAGCTGAGGGACAGCTTTCCGGAGAGGTGTGTCCACGTGTGGGGGACGAAGTCCTCCGGTACCTTAGGCCTAGTGAGGGGGCTCTTCAGGAGACGCTCAGAGCGTGAAATGGGCCCCTACAGTGGTGGGGACATGGCGTTTGGGTGCCCGACTCACCTTTCAAATTTGACAGAATTTAATGGCTGGGCTCTCGTTTACTACGTGAAGCCTGGTGCCCACCCAGGAAGGTGCGGGGCCTCCTCGCAGTGACCGACCCAGTGCCTAGCGGGAGGGGAAGGGCTGGCCTGGAAAAGCGGGTGGGGTGGGGCGGGGGCAGGTGGTCAGACTGAAGAGCCACAGGAGAGGGACACCGGGGCTGGCTGGCACACGCCACGTTTGACAGGGCGGAAGTTCTAAGGTCTTTCCCGTGAACCAGACCTGGGCCACACCGATCAACAAGATGACCTGGGGTGGTCTTAGGTCCCGAGAGAGTAAACAGGGCAAACAGAAGCTGCAGCTATCACTGGAGCAGGAGCTGGGCCCCCGACCCCGAACCAGTGGGCTCTTCAGGAGCCCGGCACCGTTTCGCAAAGCCTTCCGCCAAGACGCAGGCAGGTCTCTGCCGGCTCAACCTTCACTCACTCCCTGTCCCCAAGAGTCCCTTTGAAAGCCCAGTCTCCCGTACCATCAGATCACTGACTTCTCTCAGTGGCAGAAACACAGGCAACACACAGAAGTCCTCGCTGTCACACTTCTGGGTGTGTTTCCTCCGGTCCAGATGGTTTGCGAACACCTAGGGACAGTGAGCGCAAAGCAGGCCTCTCCTCGCACACAGCCAGCACGGCTGGGTCTGGACTGCGCTGCAGTCCTGCTCTGCAAGCCTAGGGGACCCTCCCCGAGGCCTCTGTTAAAGGCTTGCCCCTCACTTCGCCCCCACCCCCACCCCAGACAGGCTGAGGGGTGGAGATGAAGACCGAGATGGGGGGAGGTCAGTAACTGGCCCGAGCTCACCCCACTAGCGGTGCTGGACTGGTACTGAACGGAGTCCCCAGTCCAGAAGCAGGCACCTAAGTGTGAGGGGAGCGCTTCCTACGGGTTCGGCACGGCGAAGTCATCGGGCATCAGAGGTCTGATTGAGGGTTCTAAAAAGCTAGAGCATCAGACCCCAAGCTCCCAAAGTCCTCAAAGGCAGGCCATTTAACCACAGCAACACAGCCAGACTTCTGAGTTTTTATTTTCTGTTTATTTTCAGTTGTTTTTACAATCCTCAAGTGACCGGGTTTGCTAACAGGGGTCAAGAGCAAAGCCCCGAGTCACCTGGGCCTCTGACCACGAAGATGAGACTCAACAAGTCACAGAGGAAACTCGCTGGAGCCAGGCATCCAGCCACAGACGCAGAAGGGACTCGAGGCCCCAAGCTGACCAGCTTTTTGGAGCAGGAGAATTTTCTGAAAAACGTTGACATTTTACAATGTAAACAGAGGAGACTCGGTTAAACCAGCGCAGAGAGCGGCCACAGTCCCTGCCGCTCCCCCGGCCCGGCCCGGCCCGGCCCGCAGTCCCCGTTTTCCTCTCCAGGACGACATGGAAAGCAGACGCTGCGGAAGTGAAGGTGGAAACAAGGCGACTCGTTAAACACAGTCACTCTGGCTCTGCTTCCGCATCGAAATGCTCAGAAGGGGTCGACGGCACTGCAGATGCTGCGGCGCCTGCACAGGGACCGCATTTTAGCACCGTTTACGTGAATGTCGATCGAGGCATGTTTCAATGTATAAAATCAAGTACGAAAGACCATTTTGAAGTTCAAAATTAAGCCCCACCACTGAGAAAACAACTGCCGAGACCGTGCCCATTGCAAGCCCCGGATCTTTCCCTTGTATTACCCATGTTTTGGCAATTTAATTCTTTTTATTTTTAGATCAGGCAACCCTTGGTTGACCTCACAGATGGCAAGGACCTTGTCAGCTTACAGTCCCTTATCTTCTATTTTTTACACCTACTGCACCTGGTCTTCCTAGGTGGTCTCCCATCCAAGTACTAACCAGGCCTGACCCTGCTTAGCTTCCGAGATCAGACGGGATCGGGCTTGCTCAGGGTGGCATGGCCATAGACGGCAATTTAATTCTTGACCCAGACTCACACCTGAGAAATGAAGGAGACGAGATAAAACTCCAGCCAGTGGTGTCCACTAACAGCCCTGGTTATTAGTGAGCATTTAAAATAGTTAAATATACAGGTGGCCAAAAGGCCTGGGAACAGAGACGTAACAACACATGGTCTGTGGATACATTTCAGTACAATAGATCTGTCTTTCCAGATGTACAGGCCACTTGGGATAGTTTAATTACTCACTCCACCGTTCCCAGAAATTGCAATTTATCATGAAAAAAACACAAATGGGTCAGCTCACCTCCACCCTCCCAAATTCTGCTGGGTCCCCTGCTGTGGGCCCTCCTGCACAAAAGTCACGATGTGACTGCAGACCAGCACACGCACACTCGAACACACGCACATGCATGCAAGCACACACAATACACACACTCCCCTCTCGGGCTCAGCAAGCCCACCTTGCCCCCAAAGCTACTACGAGTTTTATGCTTTTCGTGGCTCCAAGTTATAAACTGAATTACACAAGCAGTGACAGTCAGTTGCCCTTATCTTTATTCCCTGCACAACTCAGCAACTGGCTCCCTGGTCTCTGCAGGGCCCCAGAAGAGGTCGCCAGTGAGGTTTCTCAAGAGCATTAAATATTATACTTCTGCTAAATGGGGACTTAGTAAACTTTAGAATGAGGGATTTGCAGAACCGATGCACAGAACAACTTTCACTCCTTCAGATTTTCATCCTTCTGTAACTTAAGCCCAGGAGGTCTGCCAGGCATCTGTTGTTTTGTTTCTAAGTGGCATTTTGATCTAAGATCAGGTCCTTCTTCAGTTCATTTCTTACAGTCCCTTGGGCCATTTTTAAATTACTTGACATTGTGCTCTGCCTTTCGCTAGCTAAGCTATCCGGGGACCCTGTGCCTTTCACACACATTTCAGATTCGCTCCACACACACTGAGGGCTTTTTATTGTTTTTTAGGCAGTGACAGATCTTTTTTAAAAGGCATTTATTTATATGCATGCTTGCAAGTGAGATTCCCTGGAGGTTTATACTTCTGAAAATACTTACTGGCTTTCAAGATGGGGTACCTGCAAAGTACTGCTTAAGGAAAAGAAGAAAATAATCTAACTTTATTTTAACATCAAAAAGGAGGCACAGCCAGGAAGTCTATTTGAGTCCTACATATTATCTACAAAATACTGCTTAAGAAAGTGAGAAACAAAATCATCTAACTTAATTTTAACATCAAAAAGGGACACAGCCAGGAAGTCACTTTGAGTCCTACACATACGCCCGGGTGGGAGTGCTAGATAATTAAAGGCAATACAGCACTTCACAGTCATTACCCGGAAGACCTTCAAAAACTAGACTACGATCTCGTAGGTAAAAAAGCACTTCGGGGTGAGGGTAAGAGAAATAACAGAGCCTCTTAAAAAAAAAAAAAAAAGCATAAAACAACCCACAACACTTGTCTCTTCCAACAGAGCTGTTAGACTCATGCAACCTGAGATTTTACCTGATAAACTCCAGAATTGGAGGGATAAAGACTAATGAAAGGGTACAAAGGCAACATGTTTTCCTTACTCAGAGAAAAATTTCACCGGGCATTAACCGAATGTATAACAGTATAAGAAAAGGGCAAATGGCTATATAAAGAAAGCAAAGTCAATCCTGTTCTGAGCATTTCAAACATTTTCAGTTATGCCATATTCCAAGGAGGAAAAACTGCCAGCATTTCAGATTGAACTCTACCTATGCCTAGATCATAAGTGAAAGACCGCACACTGGCCCCTCGTTCTCAACTGTCACCATCACTGTCCCAATGTGTATGAGTGAAATCTATGGAAAGTCACTGTGCAGGTGAGAAGGGGAACCAGAAAAGGTTGTGAAGGAGCAATGTGAACTCTACGAACCTGTTACAGGGAAATTCTTTCAGGTCTAAGTGCACTTTAAATGGGCTCAAGCATGTAAGTGCGCCTGCTTAAGGTGGAGATCATCTTTCCGCCAAGACCACAGGGTCCAAACCTTCTGAACTCTGGAATAGAAAGCAAACGGTCTGGTCCCCACCACATTCCCTCTAGAATATTTTACCATTTTAGCGATCTCTCTAAGTAGATCATCTTCCTGAATCCATTTTGGTCTCAATTCAATTTCTATTCTGCTCACGTCACCCAACCAGCCCAAGACCGGGAATGAGAAACGGAATGAAAATTCTGGGCAACTGAAGTTGCAGGCTGCAACGGAGAAATGCTGCCTTTAAAGCTGGCCAGTCACCTGTTATTTCCTGAGGTACTATTTCATTGAAAGGTTTTTGCTCTGATGTTATGATCCCCGCTAAGCCTGGATGACAGTCTGAGGACAGAGTTTAATATGGCCTTGGGACAGAAAGCAAGTTAAACTCTTCTTTTTGAATTCTCATCAGTGAGGTGATTTAAGACCACGATTTCTGTGCATACTATAACAGTATCATACATAGGAATAAGAAAAAAGCATGAAATGTAAACAATTGCCCAGAAGCCCAGTTCGAGTTCACTGAGAATAGAACATTTTCAAAATGCAAAGACAGATGATCATGAGTGTTATCATGAGTATTATTAAATTCGACAGTGGGTATGAATCAACAGTCAGATGGACACGGACCCCTACGGCCTTGCACAACCTAAAGGTTCGAGGTGCACTTTTTAAAATGTTCAAGAATAAATGGTACTTCCTGTTGTAAGTTACAAATACTAAAATGAAGCATCAAAGCCAACAAGAAGTCATTATTATTGCTTTAATTTGGCTTCTAGGTACCTCCTATTCCAGATACCATCACATTTCACAGTGGAAAACACAAGCCTCTTGGATGCATTCACACACATGTAACATTAAATTTGATTCAATGAATCAGCAGCTACCAAAATGTGGCCAACATTACTGATGAGGTAATGAAGAAAATACTAATGTAACATTCTGCATAGTTTTGTGTGTGCTCTTAGTTTTCTCAACTAAGAATTTTAATTTTTAAGTGAAAGCAAAACTTACATTTTCAAACTGAAAAAAAACAGATTAGATAGCTTATAAATTTTATTAAATTGAACCAAATAAAGAGTTTTATTCTGAAATAAAGCTCGGAACTTCAGGGTAACATCACCTCCACAAATGCTGAGCCAATTCGGGTGCTGCTGACACAGTCCTAAAGAGCGATGAAGGATGTCCACAGTCCATGCCCCACGGGGCGAATCAGGCCCCGACGCAGACCGTGGAGGCGATTGCTCACGGCCAGGAACGATGCTTCTCTCAGGCTCCCAACCCAAAGTGAGAGCAGATCCGGCTCAGCCCTACTTCAGCACGCAGTTTTAGTACACGCTTCTGCTTAAACTTACTCGTGACAAACCCTAGGACACACTCTGCTGTCACTCATCCCCTGCCAGCAGATGAGTGCAGGACTCTGGCAATGGAAAGACCCTCAAAAAATAGTGTGAGAAGGGCACAGGAAGACCTGGGTCCGACTCATCCCAGCTCTGAATCACATGAGAGCCATAATTCGTTTCGTCTTGGCTCCCAACTCTAAAAAAGCAGGCGGACCTGAGCTCTGATTCTGACCATATAGTGTCAGTCTGCAAAAGTGGGGAATGATGAACAGGCCCTAGAACTTGACTACGAGGTGCGCTCAGCCCGCTGACAGAGCAGCACCTGCACCAAGCGCCAGACCTGGTGTGCCCGTGACCGTGGGCACCTGTCATGTTCTCGAAGAGCAAGGACTTCCAGGTGCCATCACCTCCATCCTGCAGCTCCTTCTCCAGTCTTTAAATAACTCACTTTTGGCCCCAATTCTTAATCTTCTATTAGAAAATCTGTTTAGAATGGCTTTAATGAACATGTAAATCCAAACCTTTGTTTGACTAGACCAACACAGGATGTTACGACTGCGCCATTAACGAACTGCACCCAGCATTATACCTAAGCGGACTGCACAGAAGGCACGACAGTGACCCATTACCACCAAAACAAAAACAATTACTATCTTAAAAAAAAATGCAAACCAGTTTACTATTAGAGAAAGTTTGTTTTGAGATATAAAAAACATATTTCTCTCCAAAATGAGTCTCCTGACACAAAAGTGTTTTTTTTATGGAAAAGATGGCGTTTGTACCTTCCAACAGGTGTGCGCTGAAGGTCCCCACCGAAACATACCGCATCACAGACGAGGAAAAGCTTGGCTAACTCTTATTATTGAAAGCCAGTCTTCAGAGGGCTGTGGGCCTCCCTGGCTCCCAGGACCCCAGAGTCCCCAGAAGTCCCTCCGGACCGGCAGGCCGGGCAAGCCCAGGAGCTGCCTGCGCACCTTGGCCGTGCCGCCAGGCTGGCCGGGCGAGCGTCTCTCACAGACTCGTCTCCTCACACACCCTGACGGGGACGTTGTAGTGCCGATCATCCTCGGCGATCAGGGTCACCATCGGCCAGTCCCTGGGCGGGTCTGTGGGGTAGACGGTGATGAACTCTTCAGTGCTGTACTTGGAGAGCCGGTACACCTGGATGGTGTGGCGCACAGCGTAGGCCAGGAGGAACATTTCAACCTGGTGGGGGAGGGGAAACGGGTTTGCGAGGGTGTGGAAGGCAGCCACACCAAGGGCGAAGGGCGAGGCTTTCCACTCACTCCATCCCCTGGGGCCCAGGCAGGGCGCAGCACAGCTCCGCCCAAACCTCCTCCTCCCCATGGGCCCAGCCTTCTCGTCTGGTCCTTATAAACAAGCAGATCATCGAGAACAGATCACAGTCTGAAGAGGGACTTGTATCCAGAATTTATGAAGAGCTCTTATAACTCAATAATAGAAAAACAAATGACCAGTATAAAAACTGGGCAAAAGATCTGAAGAGAACAGACACTTCTCCAAAGAAGATATGCAAATGGCCAGTATGCACAGGCAAAGTCATCAGGGGAATGCAAATCAAACCACAGTGAGGTACCACTTCACACCCACTAGAGTGGCTACAACCAAAAAGACACAGTGAGGAGTGACTGCTTAACCAGTACGGAGAATTTCTTTTGGGGTGAGGAAATGTTTTTGAACTTGATACAGGTGGTGGTCACATAACATTATAAAGATACTAAAAGCCCCTAAGCGGTATACTTTAAAATAGTTATTTTTATGTTATGTGATCATCTCCTCAATAAAAAAGAAGTGTTGGTGAGGATGTGGAGAAACAGGGCTCTGAAACATTGCTGGTAGGAATGTCAAATGATACGTCTGCTTTAAATGAAGAATTAGCATATGACCCAGCAGCAACTCTACTCCTAGGTATATACCCAAGAGAAGTGAAAACATGTCCACACACAAAATAAGTGTACATGAATGTTTATAGGATGATTCTTAATAGCTGAAAAACGAAAATAACCCAATGCCCATCAACTGATGAATGAATAAAATGGATATCTGTACAACGGAATAGTACAGATATTTGTCAATAAAATGGAATAATACTTTTATTTGTCAATAAAAAGAAATGAAGAATTGATACATGCTGCAACGTGATGAGCGCTGAACACATTAGGCTAAGTGAAAGAAGCCGGTCACAAAAGACCACGTTATATGATTCCACTGATATGAAATGTCCAGAATAGGCCGATCTATGGCGACAGAAAGCAGATAAGTGGCTGCCTAGGACTGGGGGAAGAGAGGATATGTCCCAGTGGATGTGAGGTTTCTTAAGGGGTGACAAAATGGTCTAAAATTAGACTGCTGTGATGGCTACGAAACTCTGTAAACATACTAAAAACCATTAACTTACACATTTTAAAAGTGTACACTTTATGGTATGTAAATTATTTCTCAATAAAGTTGTTATTTAAGAAAACGGGCTCTCCATTACAACAGCCCTTGTGGGGACTCAGAAAGGACTAACTTTAGTCTAATATGCAAACCGTGCTCCACCAGGCTTCTCACTGTGAGGCATCTGCCGCGGCTCAGGAGATGTAAGTAACCTGCATTAAAGTCCGGATAATTTTTTAATTATCGTCAATCCTGCCTGACCTGGCAGGACTGTCAGCTCTGCTGTCTCCTAAGCACGACAGTCAGCTGTAGAAGTAGGAGGTACAACTTTAATGCTGCTTTAGTAGTTGGCTATTCCACTAAAAAAAAAAGACTTAAGTGTCTTAGGGCGACATAATGAACACACCAAAAGTAAACAATGCAAGGTGTGGTGAGTCGACTGCTGGCTCATCGGACAGCACTGCAGTGAGTCTCTGTGTCAAACTGCAAACTCAGCACATCTGTAAAAGATCCAAGAGCGGGCTGGGCTCGACTGGGTAAGGTGACTCCATTTCTATTTTTAAAGGCTGCTACCTAATACAGCTATAGCTGCCAATATTAAACAAGACCCTTCGGATGTCTCCTCCCAGGGCTTCTTTTATTCTTAGACTACCAGAGCCAAGGGTGCTGATCCCATCCACCGCCCCGCAGAAGCCAGCCCAGGCTGAGATAACCGTGGTGGTTACAGAACAGGTTCACGAGTCTCTGGCCCTCCCTGCTTGAGAAGGTGGAGCCTAAGGCTCTCCCCTTAAGTCTGGGACGGACTAGTGATCTGCATCTAGCAGAACTATGTAAGGGACGGTGTGTGACTCCCACAGTTAGATCATAAAAGGCACTGTAGGTTCTTCTTCCCTCTCTTAATGAATCACTTTCTGAGAGATGCCAGTTGCCATGTTGTGAGGACATTCAAGCAGCCGTACAGGAAGGCCCACATGGTGAGAAACTACCATCCCCCAGTGATGGACCGAGGCCTCTGCCATGCTGGACATGGATCCTCCAGCCCCGGTCAGGCCCTCCTGGGACCCCGAGCTATGCTGCTCCTAAATTCTTGACCCACAAAAACTGTGAGATAATGTTTGATGGTTAAAGCTGCTATTTTGGGCTAATGTACTCCCAAAGGTACAACTCACCTGTTCGAGGCCACCAGTGTGTCCCACCTGGTTTAGATGGTTCCTCAGCAGCTGTCTAGGGTCACTCGACGTGTCCCGAGCAAACAGAAGCACAGAGAAAAATGGCACTTCCTTTCCCTTCTCTTTATCATCGTATAGTTCAATGGCTCTGTTTAGCATTAAAAATTTTACAGCTTCATACAGGCTATACTCCTCCTCCTCATTGGTGAACAGTTTATCGCAAGCTACCTGCCTTGCTTCGGCAGTTCTCAGTTCAGCCAAGCCTGCCCACTACAACAAGAAAGGTACATAAGAATTACATTTTTGTTCTAAAAGTCTCTGGTATACGTCAATAATATGAGCATGAAATAATTTTCAAAAGTAGGCGGCCATGGGTCACGTACCAATGATGACCACGTTCAAATGTCCAGCTCAAACAGTGGAATCGCTCTTTAGACCACAGACATTCTTTATTTAGCATTTGTCCCATTCATTTGAGACAAGAATACGATGCACTGGGGCCGTGGGATGGCAATTTTGAATCCCTAACTTCCCAGGCAATGAGATTAAACCATAAACACTTATGGAGACCTAACGTGTGTGTGAGGCCTGTGTGGGAACTGTGAAGGACAGCTGAACTTTGTCCTCCCCGTGAGGGCCTTACAGGAGCAGTCACTACCCACAAACACAAAAGATGGGAAAGGTGGGAAAGGAAGACTGTGGAATCTCCTAAGTGTTAGTTTACTGACCTCTTAAGAACATACATGAGATTCAAATGCATAAGTCCATTAAGGAAATTCTTATTGACTCCTGACTAAAACTAAAACAGTGTTAGCTATCCAGCTAATAGGCATACTTCTTCAAGTGAACAAGAAAACCCTATAAATACATGTGCTTTTAAGTTAAAATGAATGAGAATAAGAGATACCAATCTAAAACTAGTCCTTATGAATCACCAGTAACAACGGCTCCTCTCAAAAACCATTCAAATTTTTAATTCAAGAGTAAATTTTAAAGGTAATGACTACACCACAAGACTCTCTAATATTTGGGTTGAAAGCTGGAACATGTCATATTTTCTAGAAGTAGACCAAGCTGCCAGTCAAGAGCGTGGCTGCAGATCCATAGTCAGAATGGAAGGAAGGCCTCGCACCGAGCAGCTGGTGGATTTGTGAGGCACGATGGCGGGGCCTTGGCTTCCTCACCTATGAACAGGGTAGGCCCAGAGCACACCACCTTAGTGGTTGTGACAAGTAACACATAAAACTGCACGGCCTGCACACAGAAAGTGTGAGTAATGCTGGCTCAGATCATTAATAATTTTCAAGTTACTGTAAACTGAAATCACTGAAACATTCCCCAAAATAAGGATCTAGCTACAGCAGACACATCTAAAAAAGCAAAAATTGCAATTTCACGAGATTTTTAAAAGAGATCAAAAAGAAATCGTCACTAGTGGCTGAGCTGACAAGCCGCCTCCCACTCACTGCCACAGGGCCAGCACCTTGCCCGCAACCTCCACTGACCCGGGGTCTGGGCAGCCTGGGTCTCCAGCCTCTGCTTCACGGGCAACAACAGACTCCCTCCTCATCCCTTCCCTCCCCTTCCCCCCATTTCTTCACCACTGATCTTCCTTTGACAGTATACTTCCCAATAAACATTTCCTATGTTTGCAAATACAAACTAGGTTCCAGAAAGTCAGGGACCTCAGTTTATTCATCAACAGGATGTTTACTGCATATCTGTTAGGTGCCAGGCTCAGGTCTAGGCACTGGGTGTAAAGGAGTGAACTGGATCGCCACTCATGAAACCAAAAGTCTAAAGGGGCGAGAATCCAGACCACTGATGATACTATAAGAACATGGACTGACCTGAAACCTGTCAGAGTGACTCAGCACAAAGACTACATTCGTTACGGGTTTGTTTTCAAGAAAGTTAATCAATTCATTAAACATATCTTCTCTGGGAATGTCTGATGTCGATATTCCTCAATTCTACCAAAGACCTCACTGGGAGAGTTTGTGTTCATTTAAAACCATTTTGCCTAAAAACCAGCTAAGGGCATGTGGTACCCACTAAATGAGGACTAAGACGTGCTCTGCTGGGGAGTTGGGAGCAAGAGCTTTACGCTTATCAGAAAAAGGAAACTACACGTTCCAAACCTTCTTCCTGAGCAGAGTGAGGGACTCCTTGATTTTATCAACCAGGTCCTCGCTCTTCCCCTCAAATTTCAATCCAAGTTTCCACTGCTTGATCCAGTTGTATTTGCTTATGAGTTTTTCCGGTAACTGGAGTATCAAGAAACAGAGAAAGAAAGTTAACATTCCAAGAAGTCCATCATATGATCCAAGCTGTAAGAAACCACACGGCCAACAAAACCTACTTGCGTTTCCAGAATTAACCCCTGCAAATCTGTCATGTGGGTTTAGCACGGAGGACCTAAGTCTGGGAGTCAGGAACTCAGAAAGTACCACCCTGAGGAGGACTGAGTGAAATGACGGTCCTGGTTGAGGTACGAGGACATAACCTCCCCTGCCATGCAATGAGCCCAGCCAGGAGCCCTACACAGCACTCTGTGAGCGTGCCTTAGAAAATGCCCACACCGTCTTCACGGAAACCACCCCGGTTCGCTGCCAGCCTCTCAACCGCTCCCTAATCCCTGATTCTGGAAGGTGCTTTGGGGCAGGTGAGATAGTCCAGGATGCAGTAAAAATCCAGTCCCTTCCTGAGCAGAAAAATGAAACCTGATTTTGGTACTAACACATATACTCAAAGTTTTAACATTCAAAAAAATAATACTGTATCTAGTTTAACTGCTTAATCGACATAGCAGATAAAAAACACAACCGAGAAGAAGAAGGGTGCAGGGAGCTCTGACGACCCAGCGCATCAGAGAAGTGACAGCCGAGCCCCCATGCCGCCTGCCTCCTTTCCTGTCTTTCTTCCTGGAACATGTGTTATTTTCCCCCAACAATCAATGGAATCTGGTGTTTGAAAGGCAAGCTGGGACACAACTTGATTGATGACAGCATGAGAACTCAGACTCTCCCAACAGTTTTGGGTGTGTCAGGAGAAAATCCATATAATTAGGTTGGGTACAGGCACGTGGCGTCACTGCTATAAAATTCAGAAAGGAAAAGAAAGTTCACGTCCACGTCAAAAGATCATTAAAGAATAATGAATTCCTATCACAGCCTATGTGGAACCTGAGTTTGTGTAACAGTCACAAGTAGTTTTAAATGAGACCATGGGTTCGGTTCTTCTGGAAGCCCCTGAAGACCCTTTCACAAATGGTAATCAGTTTTACCTTCGCAATCTATGACAATCATGTAAAACGAAGGTGGTTTCGTCTCTGCAAAAACAAACCACAACAGGGATGCAAATTCCTCTTCAGGCTACCGCAGCGATGACAAGCCACACGTTCTGGGGGGGAGGGGCCATGTTTCCTCATGTTATCGTGATGACAAATGACCATCCACCCAAGAGCCATCCAGATCCACACCCACACTGTCCTGCATTTTGGCAGCATGTGGGCAATTTGCAAAGAGGTTATCAGGTTTATCCCAGAACCTAAAATGTCCTCAAGTGGCAATGAGCTGAAATCACAAATGGCCCCCAAGAAGTACAAGTGAGCAGAAAGTGCTGGCTCCTCAGAAGTGAGCTGGGAACCAGGGTAAAGGGAAGCCCAGAACCATCTAAGCATCACGTGACACTGCGCAGGTACCGAAAAAGCAGGCACAACACTCAGCTGAAAATTCAGGACACCCCAGAGATCTCACTACACAGAGGGAACCCTAAATAAAAGTCTGTCTCCTCAGACAGTCCCTCCATGTGCTGGTTCAAACTGTTGCTAGTGTTAATTATCCGGCTCAGGCTATATATCTCTGGGAGAGGTGGACGTCATGAAGCAAGTCCAGAAAATGAGGTGTGACAAAGAAACTACAAGGAAAGAACACTGGAGTTGGAATTATTTATTGAGAGGAAAAAAATGAATATAACTTTAAACGCTTTTAGGGGTCATAATGTACAGAACACACAGAAACAGGCATTCTTTCCTCCTCTGCATAAAGAGACTAGACTTCTGTTGAATGAGGGAAACTTGAGCAAGAAACAAGACTTAAGAATAAGAAATTATAAACAAGAATAATATTTAAGAAAAAAGTAATTAGCTTAACTATAATTTATGACTGAATTATAAAAACAGCCTGTTTTTACTACCAAGTGTCTATAACTCTTGAAATCATCACCATGATTTAAAGGAACAGCAAATAACAAAAACGTGTCATCCCTAAAACTACCTCATAAAATGAGTTACGATATACAACACAGTCTAACCCACTCCAAGCAAACGTCGTCGTAGGTCCCGCCCACCCAGAGACTTTCTAAAGCTCAGCAAACTTGGAAACTAAGGACTGTACCCGAAAGACACCACCTCTCGGGACCTGGGCGCTGTTCCAAGTTTGAGCACAACCAGACCAAGCCACCTCCACGGCTGGGGTCAGAGTAGGTGACCTGACTGCAGTCAAACACCAAGACTGAAGCAGGAACAACACACAGGCCCAGGCAGACGACAGGAGGTGAGCGGTGGCTAAACTGTCAGGACAAAGCTTCACCTCCCAGGCGGGGAGGGGAGCAAGGCCCAAGTAGCTGAGCAGCAGCAGAAAGCAGGGTCCAGGCTCCCCTTCATTGGCTCAGACTAAGGGGGGGCGTCTCTCGGTCCAGCTCTCCTGTACCCCTTTCGTGTCCTATTCTAGGAGAGAGGGAAGAGGACACAGTGCCGCAGAGAACACCTTCAGATACAGCTAGCTAAAGGGAGCATGTCCCTTGGTAACAGAATATGGCTCGTCCGGGCTTACCCAAATTCTTGATGAAATGCATGCTGAGATCAAGGAATGTTTAGCACAGCGTGTGGCCAACAGGCCGTGGGCCGAGGCTAATCCCGACTCTACAGATTCACGCAAAATATTAAGGTGTCCCAGGACCTGATGGACCCCAAAATCTGAAGAGGTGGGTTACTTAGAGCCAGCGCAGTTCAGGAGACCCTAATAATGCCGAAATTAGATCCCTCCAACCTGCCTGCTGAGAGCAGCCTCTTGTGTCCCCAGAAGTGGTCAGTGTTCCCAGGCCTTCTAAAAGGCCCATGGACACACAGTAACCAGAAGTGTTTGTGCCACGAACTGGCCAAGGACATGTGACTGTCACTAGGCACTGGGTAGTCATCAGAAGAGGCCCTCGGCATTTCAGATAGACCATGGATCAAAGTAAACTGAGAAAGAGCCATTCTCACGGCTGCTGGAGTCTGGCCCAAGTGTTTATATGGGCGATCCTACTCCAGCTGAATGCAAAAAATTTATACTGAGTTCTAACAGCAAGCAGGGTTTTACTTAACACGACAGGATGAGTTATTCTGATATGTCAGGAAGAGAGATAGGAAACGGGCACACTGACTTCCACACCACAACTCCTGTAATGTTTTCTGTTTTGTAGCCATAGTTATTTAAGTATCACTTGATCGGCTTGTCTTAAGCATGTGAGTTAACAAATGAATATTAAGATGTTTACTTATTACAGAGTTATACGAGCAGTATCTGGAGATGGAAGATCCCACCTAGGCACACTACCCCTCTGCAGGCTGCTCCACACCTCCATCTGCACCTTCTGTTCCACCCTGACACCTTCCAATCACACCGTGCCACCCACTCACTCTCTCGAGGAGGCCCCTGTCAGTGAGAACAGGCATGCAATGGCATCCACAGAGGGCAGGAGGGGTGAGCGGGAGGTGCTTAGAAAACAGCTTGGTCAAGTGTCATATTGTCAGTTTTCCTTCATCATTCCTGCCCACCGAACTCTTTTGGGATATCCTATCACGCAACCTATCATGTGACCTCATCTGATGTGTGTCAGGGACACATGACACACGTGTCAACATGACTTCCTGGAGTGTAACTACTGCACTGCCAATTTAAAACACTGAAGAGGGCCTGGTATAAGACACAGCCCCTGACCCTCACCCCCCCAGGAAGCACCTCCCAGAGTGACATTCGTCATCTCTCTTCTAGTGCTGCTGCTCCAGCACCTACTTGGCCAACCCTCCTAACACTGCACAGAGGGTGCTAAACTCTTGAACTGCAGCTAGAACTACAGACGTGCGCACTCTCAAAGCCCAGCAGGTCCCGAGTAACAGACGACCTGTTTAATACAGGTGCCAACACTGAAGTCAAACTGCTCTCAAGTGCTTTTTACAAACTCTGGACACCTGCTCTCCACTGCAGCTCAGTTCACATAAATTGTATCATTCTTCTCTTCTGGGAAACACCAACTATTTTTGGTCTCTTTACTATGCAAAATCATCCCGGCCACACAAAAGCCAATAAACCCACATGCTGACGTCATCCTGCAGACGCTACCAGCACAGAGCAGGGCAGAAAAGGGAAGTCTTTCTCACAAAACGACTGGAAGCGCTGTGGACTCAAACCTGCGGCAGCAGCGTACCAGCGTGAGCTCCGGGTCCTGCAGCCAGCGGGGCAGAGCCGCCGGCTGGCTCATGGCCTGGAACAGCGTGGCCCTCAGCGCACAGTAATTATCTCCGCGGACTCGCCTGATGGAGGTGAATTTCTGAGATACTTCTTCATAGCCCTGGAGGAAAGCATCAGAGAATTCAAAATGGTTGTTACTGACTTCAGAGAGAGTTTTGTTTTGGGGGAAAAAATGTGCCCTGATTCCCAAAAGAATGGAAACAAGATTGACTGAGTCCACTGTGTAAGAATTCTAAATCCTTCTCTATGAATCAAAAGAAATTATAAATAAAAAATTTTTAAAGAAAGTAAAAGAAATTAACAAATGTTAGTACTATATGAAATATCAGTATATATAACAGATACAACACACTAGAACATATAAAATACTCCAAGCATTATTAAAACACTAACTACCCCCAATGTGAGAGTTATATGTCCTTTTCTGTTGCAACACACACTTATTGATAACCAATATTCTGAAGGGTACAATCTGTGTTTAAATCGACCCTACACTCTCTAATATAAAGAGATGGAAAAGGAGAGATGTACTAAGTTTGTATCTCCGTATTAAAAAAGAACACACCAAAATCCCAAATTTCCGTGATATAAAAAAAAAAATGATATAAAAAAAAAAATCTACGTGCTAGGAGATATCTGGATAATTCTGTTAGATGTTTTTAAAAAGTGGATTTAATAATTCTTGTTCAGTCTGGAAGTAAGAGGAGGAAATGAAAATGTTCAGTGACATGCTAGTCACTCAGAAGCCACCATCCAAATAGACCCATTTCGAAGCATATTCCAAAAAAGGACACCTTAATGTCCACAGCCATGCCACCCTGAACGAGCCTGATCCCGTCTGATCTCGGAAGCTAAGCAGGGTCAGAGCTGGTTAGTACTTGGATGGGAGACCACCTAGAAAGACCAGGTGCTGTAGGCGTAAAAGTAAATGAATGAATGAATGATTTATTGTAAGCTGACAAGGTCCTTGAAATCTGTGAGGTCAACTAAGGGGTTGACTCACATTAAAAAAAAAAAAAAGGACACCTTAAGATCCTAGTGACCTGGTCCACAGGCAACCAGACGACCTGATTTCAGTGGCTGGACACTGCTCAGGCAGCGGAGTCAACTTCGCTGCTTCCCCACCTCACTCGCCCACATCCTGCCAGTCAATTTCGCTTGTCCCACTCTTCCTTGACAGTCCCTAGAAACAGTGCTTCCTACCCTGTGCTTATACAGAAGGAGGGTCACTCTCATCACAAGTGGACACCAGGCAGACAGTCATCCTGTGTCCAAGTACTTAACCCTCAGTATTAGTTGTTTTCAGGGTTCAAGTCACAAGAGGATGTTCTACGTGGATATAAAAGTATTTCTTTATAATTTATAATAAAAACGTGAGTTCCATTTTTATTTAGTGGTCCAACCACTGCGACATATAAGGGTCTGCCAGGCAGACATATGCCGACTGATGTGCATCTCTCCCTTATGGTGGACCCCAAGAACTCTCAATATTCATAATGGCTGGTTCAACAGCAACTGCACCTTTCCAAATGCATAAATTACTCATGCTATTTCAGAGGTGAATCAAACTTTTGAATTAAATTTGGATTTATACACACTTCCAAAATAGCCAAAACAAAAATAGACAATTAGACAAATAAGGACTAAAAAAGAACTGAGACCCAAGCTGTCATTAGGTCCTGAGATGCTCTAATTACTGTCACAGATCCTAATGTGACACTTTTCCAATTGACGTGCCTTTGACTATTTGGTCACCAAAAAGTCCAACTGTAGGGCAAAATCTTTCCCTTGAACTAAAATCACGGATGAATGATTTTAGCATAAGTTCTAAAATACGGAACTAGGGGCATCTACGATTATGGATTTTTCAGGTGCCATATGTTAGAACAGATCCTTTAGAGAAACTGCGGTCATAAAAAAAAAAAACAAAACTGCGAGTCAGTGAAAGCATTTCTAGGGAAAATGAAAACATACTGACATACCTGGGAGACACTGAGGGTGTGGTTCTAGACCACCGCGATAAAGCGGCTATCTCAATAAAGCAATAAAGTGAGTCACGTGAACTTTTTGGTTTCCCAGTAAATATAAAAGTTATGTTTACACTATACTCCCCTCTATTAAGTGTGCAATGGCGTTATATCTTTAAAAAACTACATACCTTAATTAAAGAATACTTTATTGCTCAAAAATGCTAATCATCATCTGAGCTTGCTGGGAAAATGGCACCGACAGACTTCCTGGACACAGGGCCGCCATCAACCTTCATTTGTAAAAAACGCAATAAAGCGAAGTACAATAAAATGAGGTATGCCTGCATAGTTTAGATACCTGGCCTCCCCATCATCTAGTGTGACACAGGCTGGAGGCTGTTAGGAAATCTATAAGTGGCCAATACATATACTCAGCAGAGAGCCTCACAAACCTAAGTGTTCTTAACCTCTGGCGGGAACTGAGTCCCGCTGTTTCATGACTGAGTCCTCTAAGCAGGACTAAGACACAAAGAGTCTCCAGTCGAGACCTGCAGGGCGCAGAGCTGACAGCTGCTCTCAGAGCATGAAAAGTGGCAGCTACACTCTCAGGACAGGGCGGGCACAGCTGAAAGATGCACAGCATTTTCTACAAAAACAAGCCCTGAGAAGGAGAACAAATGTATTTATCTAAATATTTAAAAAATGTAAAGCCTAAACAATACAGTTCTAAATGAAGAAATATTAGAAAGATTTCTATCAAATATGATAGGGCAATATTTCTAATATACAAAAACTATTCAAATTCATAATGTAAATAATTCCGAGAACAAAAATGAGCAAAGGATGTAAAGCAGAGGTTACAGAGGTGGTGGAAGTGTTAGCTTGAAACTGAAATTACTGTGTCTGTAGTTCAGAAACGGATGATTAGCAGCGGTTTCATACAGTTCAAACTACTAAGGCACGCGCTGGACTTGGGATGCGTTCCCAGGGAACCGACAGAGTGCTGCTCAGTGGCTGTGCAGTGGAAGTGGGTCAACGGGGCTGACCGGAGCAGTGACTCAGCCCAGTCACAATGGCCAAGTCATGGGTATCTCCAATGTCCCATGGCCTCAGGGACTACCTGAGAGTCACCAATCTACACAATGGCACTGGGAGGGGGAAGCTTCTGGGATGCCCTAGATGAAGGCAGCAATTCCGGATCACGTTGCACAGGAGTGCAGGAGGGTCCAGGCCCCTAGGACTGCAGGGCATAAAACCAAACCCGGAGGGGAACAGTGGAAGACGTGACACCTTTTACCTCACCAGGCCAGAAGGGCATTCCCAAATGAGGACAAAAAAATGGCTGGCCCAACTCTAAATAGCAGTCATTTATGTGTTTTTCAAAGAAATCAAGTTACTGAAAAACTGATGCTGATTCTATATTAATACTATGACTTAAAAAAAAGTCCCTTATCTCTGGAGTCTGTTCCTCGACTCTAAAATTGAAACACAAATATTATATAGTGTAATAGCATGTGTCATAATTAATGTCCAAAAATATAAAAGGACACATTAAATAATTACCTATGATAGACTATTTGAAAGACTTGAAATACATGCATCTAGGCGTCATACCTTTTTCATACATATTGCTTTTTGCGTATTTCCCCTCCATTCTTTTTTGCAGTAGTCCATGATATCCATTTCAGGAGCTACACTTAATCTGGGTTCTGTTAAAGAATCAAAGCGGGGGAGAGGGAAATAATGAAATGAAGCATAATCGGGATAACGGTGCTGCTTTATGTGGAGGATACTTTCTCTCTCACTTCACTCCCAACAACCCCAGATCCCACCACTGCCTACCACCCGGTCCAGACCACCATCCCCTCGCTCCTAGGTAACCACTGGGTCTCCCAATGGGTCTCCCCTGTCACCACACCCTACTGACCATTCTCCACATGGCAACCAGAGTGACACATGTGTAGCATAAGTCAGATGGTACTCATCACTCCTGGCTCCGAGGGCGTCCCATCTCCCTTGGAGTGGAACGATGTCCTTACTTCCTACAGGAGCCTCATGCCTTGGCCCCTCACTGCCTCTTCGGCCTCAGCTCCCACCGCTCCCCACACTGACAGCTCCTGCTTCACCTGCAGCCTTCCGTGTACTCCTTCAACACACCTGGCTCTTTACCAGGGAGCTGCTCCCACACTCCATGCAGGTCTCTGCTTACCTCTGACACCCCTATGTCATAATGTCACACACACGCCTTCACTCTAAGTCCCCTCACGCTGTTTTCCTTTTCTTCTTGATCAACACCTGACATATTCCTTTTTCTACGTGCCCCAGGCCCCCACCCTCACCCTCACCCTCACCCCCACAGAGTACAACTTGAGCTCCTTGAGGGTGGGGGCTGGTTTTGCTTCCTGACTGTGTCCTCAGCACCTGCAACTGCACTGACACAGGTGTCGGCGAACACTTCTAATCAGTTAAACATGCAACAGTCTGGGCTATGAGAAAATACATCTGGTGATCAGCCATTAGCTTTTACGTCCATTATACAGAGATAACATCTCTGTAACAAAAGTGTATTTAACTGTCTTTCTTTATATCCTACCCTTATCCCCAAAGACTACAAAAGCTATTGATAATAAGTCAGAAGTTAATAAAGGTCTTAACATTAGCTGAACCACAGATCTCATTTGACTCTTAAATGCACCCTCCAAAATTAAAAATACAACTTTCAATCAGACCAACAACATAGTAAGAAAATGGCCTTTAGATTTTCCTTGTTTAACATAAGAGGTTTCGGGTTGGATTTTGTGGTATCTGCATATGCACGCACACACGTATTTTTCTATGTGTGTTTCAGGAAGAAAGAGAAGTCAATTCTCAGGCATATCTCGACTTCCTTTTTAAATTATTAAAGTAAATGTTAGCAAACAAATTAGGATATAAACACAGAAGTGCCTTACAATGTATTGATTGCAGAGCAAATTGTATATAAAACGTTATATTCAACTCAATTCAAATATTTATTGAGTGTAATACACACCAAGCAGTGAGCTAGCAACCAGGGCTATGAAAGCAATAAAGGCCCAGTTTCTGTCCTGCATGGGTTTAGAGACTACTGAAGAAGACCAGACAACAGGCATTCACAAGTCAGGGTGTGATGGATGCTGGGACGATTAAGGAGCACAAGAGGAGCCCCTAAGTTCTTCTTGCAGGTTAGGTCGATCAATTTTTTTTAATGCAAAACACTAACGACTGCCTATTTTTAAAAATCTCATGCTGAATCCTTTTATAAAGAAAATAAACTTCCTAAATAAAAGAGGAAATAACACATATGTAAATAACATAGACATATTTATGTGTGGCATAAGTCAGGACTGGCTTAAAGGTAAAACAGACCCCGAACCATACCATACAGAAACACAAATACCAATGCTGTACAGCCAGACATCAAATATAGACCCATCATTGTTGAAGTTCAAGAAACATTTTTTAAGAGTCTACTTAGTAGAGGGGAGAGTTCTCTTGGATCTGCCTCCCATTCATGTCCACACAAAGCATGAGGAACTTCCAACGTGGAGCCAGGACATTTCCTGGGCCACGCTCTCCCACCGGGCAGGGCACTGCTCAGGATGGGCCTCCCGGAAGGAAGTCCGGCCTTCCTGCCCTCCTTGATCACAGTCCTCGTCCCGCACAAGCCAAGACAAGGCCTGGCTCCTGGGCAGGACACAAGCAGGCCCGCCACCTCAGGACTATTCGAGCACCACGGACATGGTGCTGTAATTCCCAAGCGGCTGCTGCTCTTCGGGAGAAGGGCTCCCACAGCCACCGCGCCATCCTCTAGGCCGGGCTGGGGGGCTCACAGCAGCTCCTTTCTTTGTCTAATTGCAAACTACACAGATTCAGATCACTGTTATCCCAAAGGGGGAAGCTAAAAACCAGAGTGGCGACCAGGAGATGACATGAACAAAAAGTCTAGTCCGTAACCACCGTGTGATGGCAAAGACAAGGACGCAGACCCTCGGGAGACGGGAAGTGACGCGTGAACCCGCCTAGAAAGCTGAGACTCGATCAGAGGGTGAGCGAGAGTCACACACCTTTTCTAAAATGGGCCAGACAGAAAGTAAGGTAGGCTGTGAGGGCCATAAAGTTTCCATCACAACCATTCACCTGTACCATGCATGAAAGCCACCACAGGCAATATGTGAACCAAGAAATTCCAGTAAAACTTTATTTAAAAAACCAGTCGGCGTGTCAAATTGGCCAGGGAACTGTAGTTTACTGACCTCTGGAGAAGATGAAAAAAAGCCTTTTCACTAACGAAGAGAGAATATTAGAAAACTTTCTGTCTTGCCCTGGGCTCTGGTGCAGGGGAGAGGAAAGTCTCCCCTGAGGATTCGTAACCACGGCTGGCTCTCACGCAGGAACAAGGCGTGGACGCAGGCTCACCGCAAGGCCCTGGACATGCAAACCTGGAAATGAACAGAAAGAGGCCCAAGGGGGGTGACACCCTCGGTGCCTGCCTGTCAGAAACAAGGCTAAATTCTCTCACACTCAAGCCGGGTACACAAACTCTACACAGATACGCGAGAGCTAAGCTTACTATTCACACTTTGAAGAAACAAGAAATAAGCAAAAAATAGCAATTGGCATAATTAAACGTAAATGGAATTATCGGAAGTGTGTGTTTAAAACGCTTAAAGATATAAAGATATAAAATGCTTAAAGATATAAAGAAATAAAAAACATGACCAAAAAGCAACAAACTAT